CGAACCGGGACTTTAAGCAAGGCTATCAGTGCCAACAAGGATGAGACTTTTAGATGTAAATCATACAATATATTAGTCAATCTGTTTAATTTACTTGTGAAATGCTAGTTTTAGTCCGCTGTGGAGCGCACACGTGTTTGGTTTTTTCACAACTTCTCATTGAAAGTAATAAAACCAGTAGGACACACATTGAAGATAACATGAAATGGTATTTGCAAAGCATTTAGCTTCCAAAATGTGACGTGGCGTATAATTATCCATCAGGATAATCAGGGTGTCAGGAAATTATTGTTTAATATTAGTTTTCCCATTCACATGGCCTAGTTTAGGTCAGCAATCAGAGCAGGAGAAAATTATTACTCTTTGTTGAAAGATTACAAAAGCTAACACTTCCTTTTGTATTTAGCCTAACATGCACTGATGATTTGTGCACAATAAGTAAATAAAGTGCATGTTGATTTCATGTTGTCTTCAAACAGAGCGGCAGTGAAACTGTGCCAGTATTGTGTACTGTAGACCAGTCGAGTCCCAATACAGGAAGCCTCTTTCTCTTTCTTGCTCTTTCTCTCTATCCTCCTGAGAACGAGTGGGTGAAGGAGTGGAAGTGTTCTCAGTGAATACTTTAAAACATAATGCTTCATAAAAAACACATGAGATGAGTTTTAGAAGTCTTTCTGAATGGCTTGTGTGTGTGAGGTCAGTTTCCCTGAGACAGGGATTAAACTTCCTTTCGGGCCCTGAAAAAGAGAGGAGGAATATATATCGGAAGGGCAGAATGAGGGAAGACAAGGAGCGGATAAATATTTCTGAGGAAGAATGACAGATCGAGCATTCGGGAGCGGGAGAGTGACAGACAGAAGGGACAGAGAGAAAGAAAGAGAAGGTTCCAGCACAAAAGAGACAGACAGAAAGAGAGAGAGAAGTTGGAGAGCAGGATAATGGGATGAAAAGACAGACGAGTGTGGGGACAGGCATGCTGAGGAGGCCTAATCCCTCACCCCTATTCACACACTCTCTTAATCTCCAGCCACGTACACACACACACACACACACACACACACAGGGCTAATCTCCTACGTCCCCTCCATCTATGTGCCTGCACTCAAAAAGGTGCACAAAAGCTCCTGGACACCTCCCTCACTGCCACACACACATATATACACTTATACGTATACACACAAACACAACATAAGCTTACACACCTTTGCAGGGTCAACACACACACGGACCTGTTCTAGACAATCAGGACGCTTCAAAACGTCAACGCAAAATGGCTTTTTGTGCATTGTGTTTGTGTTGGTGAGGCAGGTGGTTGTTTTATTTACTGAAGTCACCTCAACTCATAACTCAACAGCTTTCATTACTCAAACACACACACACAAGTAAAGGTTTGAATTTATGATGGTGGTTCAGAGAGCTTCTGACCTCTTCAGTGACAAACCTCCCTCATAGTCTTCTAATACACACAATCACACACACACACACACACACACACACACACTCTGCATTGAAAATGTACAAACGCAAACACAACTTGCACTTAGACACACACACACTGTCACACACAGCTGTGCACAAACATAAAGCTGTATCAGACATACAATTTTCACACAATTAGAGACAAACACATCACACACACACACACTTTCTGTTGCAAACGGACAAAACAATCAGACATCTGAACACAATGACACCAACAAACACCTGGGCATGAGCAAACAGACTTCTGCACAAAATAACTAACACTTTTGCACAATCATACAAACACTTGTGCACGATGACCAAGAGATTCACACAAACACACACACTTGTGCACAAACTAATCAAGCACCTGTAAATAATATCATGAACACTTGTGCACAATCACGCAAACATTTGTGCACAATCCCACAACCTAATAATCAAAAACCTGTTCACAATCACACAAGCGCTTACTGTTGCAAACGGACAAAACAATCAGACATCTGAACACAATGACACCAACAAACACCTGGGCATGAGCAAACAGACTTCTGCACAAAATAACTAACACTTTTGCACAATCATACAAACACTTGTGCACGATGACCAAGAGATTCACACAAACACACACACTTGTGCACAAACTAATCAAGCACCTGTAAATAATATCGTGAACACTTGTGCACAATCACGCAAACATTTGTGCACAATCCCACAACCTAATAATCAAAAACCTGTTCACAATCACACAAGCGCTTGTGCACAAATAAACTAATCAAACACCTGTACACAATCACAAGCAAAGACCTTTGCACAATTTACACAAATGATCAAAACCTGTACACCATCATAAAAAACACTTGTACACAATCATACAAACTAACAATCAAACACCTGTACAGAATTACACACACACAAAAACACTTGTGCACAATCACACAAACTAACAATCAAACACCTGTACAGAATCACACACACACAAAAAAACACTTGTGCACAATCACACAAACTATCAATCACACACGAGAACATAATTAGACTACACAAGCAAAAGCTTTACACAACCACACAAACTAACAGTCAAAAACTTGCACAATCACAATCAGGCTCATATAGATGCTTACAAAAATTACAGCACTTGTGCTTTGAATGTCTCTTCCCTCACACAAACACAAACACACACACACACACACACTTCATCAAAGCCTCCAGATGGGTTCGGTCTTTATCGTACCCCAGCTGGTGACATCACTCTTCCACACAGCAGAACTGATGATGAAAGCAAACAGATCTATCTTAACTCGCATTTACCAAATCAATTTTATTTTTACAGTCTCTTGCATATTGGCATATTGACGGCTTCTCTCACGGAGGGAGGGGGTGCAGAGGAGAACGAGAGGGAAAGGCAGGGAGATATGCTTAATGCCATTTACCATATTTAATGTGTCCATGTCATCATTGAATATCCCCTCTGAATAATGCGCCACTTCATCATAAATTCTTTACAACTTATTTACTTAATGGAGAGAGTTATGGGCTGCTGTCAGCCAGCTAATTAAACATAGTGATACAGCACTGCCGCGCCACGCTGTCATCCGTCCCCCATCTCTCTCTCTGTGGCTTCTCAGTTCCTTAAATACATATTATTCAAGCGTGCAATAAATTACCGATGGATTAAAATTCATGAAACCTTTTTTTTTTTTCTCTCCTTCGTTTCCTTCCATAGAGAATAAACAAGAAAGAAAGACAGCGAGAAAGAGAGAGAGTGCTTGCTCAAGAGACTGTAAATCCACCATTGGGAGACAGCTGCCTTTTCAATCATATTAAAACCTAATGTTTGCACATGTAAGATTTCTGCCATGCTGAGAAGGGAAAAGACAACTTATGAAGTGAAAAAAGGTGGAAGATTAAAATGCAAGTTTAACTGTTGTGTTTTCTAACAAGAAACGTCACAAGAACAAATTCAAACCTTTCAACAGCATTTAGACACAGTTAACCATAATTACATATGCCAACCAAACCTAAACCATAATACCACGTCCTGACAAAACATCTCTAAAAAACAGCCTGGAACTGGTTATTAACATTTAAATCGTCGCCATAAAAACAGGACCAAAATCTGACCAGAGCAGACCAGAATTAATCATAAATAAACATAACATAAAAGCCGAACATTTAAAATTCAAAGGGTACTAAAGTGTGTCCAAGCAAATTCTGATTCAGCAGTGCTCAAACTATTGCTTAGAACTAAAACAAGGTGTTTACAGCCACTACTTTACAGATATCACAAACCATCGCTTTGATACTAAATGGTCGATCTTCAAGAAAGAGGGTTGGAGATTCTTTATGAGAGTAGGATGAGTCTATCTAAACTTTCAATTAGCCTGATACCCCTCCTGTGACCTCTCCGGCCTGGCGAAATTAGCCTAAAATGACCCTGACCAAGACAACACTCGACCTCTGGCCTTGTCCTGTGACCCGGTTTCGACTGGGAGAGTAGAGTGACTGATTTCTGTTAGACAGTGTCGTCACGAGGAGGGGCGGCTTAGAGCAACGGTCTTTAACCTGGCTAAAAGCAGGATTTATGAGTCTCAGGCTTTAAATGAGTTTGGAAAGTCTAACTCCTCCCACTATGGTGACATCACAGAGGGAGAACTGACCATTCTAAACTGTCAGTGAGGTCATAGCGTCAAAAAAAGACTAAAGCAATATTTACAGACAATTGTGAGGCTGCGGTAAACAAAAGGTCATGGGATTGTTTTTTGTGCAAAATCAGCAGCAAAGAATTGGTTTCCTTTTCAATTCATGATTTCATTTCCATTTCAGTTGAATTGGCAACACCTGACAGAATGTTGGATTAGAATTTGAACTTGAATGACTGGAAGATTCTATCTATCTATCTATCTATCTATCTATCTATCTATCTTAAGGCTATAAACCTTTTAACTTGAAGGCTTTTCAACATTTATAGAAATCTTGCACACAACATTTACTTTTCTTGGTAAAAAAGAAAAATCTACTTTCTTGCACTCAAATTCAAACTGCAATGTTAGTTCCTGTTTGCTAGCTCAATTCAAATTCAGGAACTGAGCTGCAATTTAAAATCCATTCTCAAATCACTCCAGAATTGTGCACAACCCCGGTTTGGTGCAATGAATAAGCGTGGGAAATCTTCTGTACATATTTTGAGACTTAAGTGGCATTAAAAAGACCTTCAAGGACATTTATATTATGTAATTGGCATAACATTGACCAATAGCCTGTCTAGTAATTGTGACTAATGGGATTACGGCAACAGCTAGCTGGGGTTAGTGCGAGATCACAGAGCCGAGTAGAGGTGCTTCACCATAAAACATGAAGGCCAGGGTTAATCACACCGCCTCGCTACTGATGACAGTGAAACCCCAGTCGTAACAGTGGCCCATGAGCCCATGTTATCTCCTGTGCATTGTCTCCAACCGTGTGGGGATTTTCTTATCTGAACAAGGCTGTTATCACACTGTAGGAGAACACATCTCAAATTCATTGTTTTATCCTACCTCCCATGCCTGGGTGGCATTTTCTGGGATGCGTCTTGACGTTTCCTCATAGGGTCCGAGACGTTCTCCCACCTCCAGTCTCCTCCGGCTCCAGATGCCCAGGGTTCCTCTGGTAATGGCTGACTCGCGGACCTCAAAGTCTGGGGGCACCGATTCGACCCCATCCCCGGCCAGGTACACTGAAGTGTGGAATGACGGGTAGAAGGGGGACTGGTCGACTGGGGAAAGTGCATCACCTGATAGGCCAGGGGATGGAAGGTCATTTGCAGTGGCCAGTGGGACTGGATCTGCATCAGACACTCCGCCAACTTCTTCCAGGTCATCAGAGGCGAAAAGAGAGAAGTCTTCTCCATCTCCTAATCAAGAAAAAGACATTTCACTTTGTGAGAATTTAGTAGCTATTTAAAGCTGTAATGTACAATTTCTGGACCTCTAATGGCACCAAACAAAATTTCAACATGGTTGTTTGAGCAGCCCAATACAGTTTTGACTCAACCAAAGGAAAACGAGGGACAAAATAAGTATTTATTTTAGCAATTGTCTGGTGCCTGTAGTGGCAAAGAAAATGTATTACAGCTTTTGCTTCAAGACCTCACATTCATAAATCCCACTGGTCTTATTTTTTCATGTCATTATATGCATATTAAAACAAATTTTAGTCTTACATTTCAACAACTGACAACAAGTTGAGTGAAGTTACAACAGTCAAGTTAAAATGACATCAACTTTCACCATAAAATATGTTTACGTTTGTAACAACTAAAAATACTTGACAATATTTGAAAGTGAAAATATTATACAACAAAATTTAATTATAGCTTAGTCAGGTCTGTGCAATGTGGGCGGAAAACCACTGCCATTGAGGTCAATTATGGAAATTGTTAAGATACTTATTTCTATGGACAAAAATATCTAGTCCCAGATGCTGTGGGAAAGGTGTACATACAACCCAAGTTGTACGACAATGCTTTATAGTAAGCGCTGGCCCTGTCAGCCTGTGCTGTTTATTGTGACATTTTTCCCCCAGTGTATAATTGACATTTTACTTACAGTTATACCCATATCTGTAAATGATTGAAGTCCATACGAGTACTTCCTTTTTGCATAAAGACAAGTCCTGATGCCTAAATGCATTCACACTTCACTGAATGAGCAACAGACGGCGTGCAACATAAAGAGATAGCATTTATTGTCATCCAAATATTTTTATTTTGCCAAAATATGTGTTTTTTGGATATTAACATTAAGGTAAAATTATTTAAACTTATAGAATTATTTTTATGAGACCAGTAACTGTAAAGGGGAGTCAAGTTTATTTATGTAGTGTTTTATACAGTACAGTTTGCTTCAAAGCAGATTTACAGAAAAAAAAGGCATCTGTATCACAAAATGTTTAACACAGAAAGCAAATAATATCTGTTTAGGAAGTAAATAATATCTGTAAGTATTTTCCCATATATTGTAACTAAGAAAATACTTTCAGAATATTTTAGGCTTATTACCGAAGCTAAAGATAAATGTGACCCTGGACCCTGGTCATAAGGGTTAATTTTTTAAATGTATACATATAAATAAGCTTTCCATTGATGTATGGTATGTTATGATTGGACAAAATTTGGCCAAGATGCAACTATTTGAAAATCTGGAATCAGAGGTTGCAAAAAAATTGAAATATTGAGAAAATCGCCTTTAAAGTTGTCCAAATGAAGCTCTTAGCAATGCATAATACTAATCAAAAATTAAGTTTTGATATATTTACGGTAGGAAATTGACAAAATATCTTAATGGAACATGATCTTTACTTAATATCCTAATGATTTTTGGCATAAAAGAAAAATCGATCATTTTGACCTATACAATGTATTGTTGGCTATTGCTACAAATATACCCGTGCTACTTATGACTGCTTTTGTGGTCCAGGGTCACAAATATCTTTCGCCAGCAACAAACATAGGCTAATACAGTTTTAGACATTGTACCTGTACAGTTGCAGCACTATTTAAAAGCACTATTCTTTTTATTTGTTTTTGATCCACACTTCCAGACCACAGTCAGCCCATATATGCAACCTCTGCAGATACAAGTAAATATACATAGCGCCATAAAAAAATATCTGACCACTAGAGCAGTTAAACAAACACAGGGAAGGGGAAAGTGGTTTGTGTCTGTGATAACACTTAATACAGGCTGGATAAGAAGGTGTCTGGGGTGATAATCATCTTTGTGGCCTCGCCGGTTACGCCCTGTCATCCTCCTCCTGAAGCCCGCTTCGGATTGTTTGGATACAGGGGAGGAGGGAATCTCCAGTGGGAAGCGCTGACCGATCCTTGGACTCACTGCGCTGCCCCCAATACTTTTATGCTTCCTTTTCCCAATTTTTTCCCGTCAACTCTGGCGAAGAGGTTTCGATGTGAAAACAGCGGATACTGTATCTGCTTAGGTTAATTATGAGCCGAACACAGGGAGGATGTTGTCTGCTGACCTGTGACCTCTTGCTCAACTCAGAGAGGAAAACCAGCGCGTGGCTGATGAGGGAAGTCTTCATATTGTCTGTCCTTAAATACCATCCCTTCTGGGACTCAAGTATATGATACTGTATAGCAGGGCTTCCAACATGGAGGTTGGTGAAGGAACTGTAGGGGGTTAGTGAGTTGATGAAAAGCTAATAATTGATTAAATGTAACATTAAAATAAACAAATGGCTGCATAATTAATCAAAACTGAAACAGCAATATCATAGGCTGCAATTTAATTATAGTCAGCGCTGCGTGTTTCAGAGTGAAAAGCGGTACTGTGTTCATTTACTTACAGGATCATTCAGCTTATATTACCATTTTTTCAGACTGGCTTGGATCACGGTAAATCTCAGTAAATGCTATAATTTTTATGTGAATTTGGGAAAACAATGCGTGCTACGTTCATCTTATTTACATTTGCTTTTTTTTTTTTTCTTTTACAGCATTTGTCTTTAAATTAAATACATTTGAGGATATATTTTACACATGGTTTGGCAGGCAAAAATGTTTTTGAACCTGGTTAGCTACCACATCAGCACCAGTATTTTTTTATTGTTTTATATTTTTAAAACTTTGTCAATTGCTGAAATATGCAAATAAATAAATATGACATTTCATGGTTTTCTTGAAAAGTATGAATAATATGGCTCTGTTTCTTAAACATCCCAACCAACCTGACACAGCAACACTGACTTAACCAATGGAGTGGGTTTGGGGCGGGGCTATCTTTTTTGTCTATCCAATAGCAGACGAGTGGACTTGGGAACAGTGTTGCTAGTGTGGGAATTATGTCACCAAATTTAGCAACTTTCTCATCGTTGCTACGAATTTTATTAACATTTTGCGACAAGGAGGTGTTTTGGTATATTTAAAATATATTTGGTGATTTTTTTGGCGTGTGACGTTGCCTAGCAACATTTGACAACATTTGACTATGGCTACTTTTCATTGAAGGCATTAGGCAACCATTTTTGGGAAACCTGTTTGAAAATAATCAAAACTTCAGCTTCAAAAAGCTCTTCTATAGTGCTGTTGACATGACGCTCTTACGGCAACTAGGGTTTGAGCATGGACATAAAATCTGCTTTACTTTAAATCTTTCAGACAAAACCTCTTCGGCAAATGCGTTTAAATATATATGCTAACGTACATCAACCGCTGGTATCACTAACGCACTGGGACCTGAGAGGCTGTGGCTAAAAGCTAACACACAGTGCTAACATGCTCTACCTAATGTGCCGTTGCTAACACGCTTGGAGCTAACCTGCTGTGCGTGAGTCATGGCGAGGCTAGCATGCTGTGGCTAGCATGCTGTGGCTAACGTGTTGTGACAGGTAGTGGTGAGTGCTAATGAGGGCTGGGCCGGCGCTCCTGCACATCTTCCTGTCTCCTCACATTCCTAACGCTCAGAGGGGCTCTGCGCTACACGGTGCCCTCAGAGTCACGGTCCTCACGATAACAACGCCACTTCAGCCCCATCCCATTAATGAACATCTCCAACTCTTCTTTTGATTAGTGCTAAGTTGTAATTTCCACTGATAGTATATATTGAAGGGATGAAAGGTAATAAATAAAGGCTAGAAGTAAAAATATTAAAGAGGAAATGCTCTGGTTCCACTTACGTTTTTTCTGATTTTAATGACAAATTATGACTGATAAATATACAATAAATATCTAGCTAACTGTGTAACATTACAGTAGGTGATGTTTGCAGTGTTAGACGAGCAGTTGAAGTTAACACTGAAAACATTTACCGGCCAATTTACCTCAATAATGTGACGTATTCAAAGATATCTAACAAGAACAAAAATGTAGGGCAGGATTTGATTTTATGGAGGTAAAATATTTCATATTCATATTATACACTGACGATCAAAAAAAAGTCTGAGGTAGGTAAGATTTTCTCATGTTTTTGAAAGATGTCTCTTATGCTCACACAGGCTGCATTTATTTCAAAATATACAGTATTATTTCAAAAATACAGTAAAAAAGTTATATTCTGAAATATTATTACTGTTTAAAATAACCATTTTCTATTTCAGTGTATTTTAAAATGTTATTTATTCCTGTGATTAAAAGGCAAATTTTTCAGCAGTCATTACTTATCACTTTACTAACTATTATAATCTTGTTGAAAACAGTTGAATAGAAAGTTCAAAAGAATATCATTTTTAAAAAGAGAAATCTTTTATAACATTATACATGTCTTAACTGTACTTTTTTATCAGTTTTTTGAATGCATGCTTTCTGAATAAAAGTATACATTTTCTTTGAATAACAGACACCAATAAATTGTGCACCATAAGACCAGGATCAAGCATGATCTTGATGGGTCAATTTTGATATCATATTGAATCTAACACTGGATGCATTATGTTTCAACATGGTTTATAAAAGAAAGAGATAGATTAAAGATTTGCTATAATCATTAACAGTTAATCGCTGTTCCTGTTTTTATGATTTACAGCAAAGACAAGAAGTGAATGCTAAGACATGCAAGGAAACCTCACATACTACAACTTTTCATGCAAATCGTTATGGTAATAATGTCATCAAGATATTAAAATAAAAAAAATAGACACATTAGTGGTCTAGGCACTGTCTAAAATCATATTTCTCCACATTGATGCAGCCAAACATAGTTATCTCCAGCTTTATACAGATATTACTCCTGACTCTGAATCACAGGTGATCTGAGAGCGCTAAGTCTTTCCAGATGTCGTCTTGTGCCATTTACAATATTTTACTTTGTGGCTCTACACGCACGCACACACGCAAACGCATCTACATGCTTTAAAATGACAGCTGAGGACCCGGTTCAGGCCTCCACCGTACGCCTG